TTTTAAAGTGAACTATCCCTTTAAGTAACCCTTAAAAATGCAATGGAAAACACAGAATTTGGGGATAAGGATAATCCCTTTGTTGGAACATTTTCCCCCCATAATGTAGAGTTTGCCAGCCACCCACACACACAAACACACTTTTCAAAATGCAGGTTTAGTGAGACAGGAGACAGGTCTAGCCAGAAATTCATACCAAGAGCATGCTAATTCAGATATACAGTCATGCCAACCAACAATTACAAGCTTCTTAAAACCATTCGTCTGTGCACAATGCAACTTGGACATCAGCATCCTGAGATCCCATTTAGTGTTGTCAGCAAACAGCACCATTAACCGTGCAAACCATTACCCCTGCAACTAGACACTTCCTGTGCCCTTTAACCGAATCTGGGAAAACTACCTGGTGACTGGACATCAACGTAGACACGGACTGCATGGAAGCTGAAATCCCTTATGAAGGCATTTATATAGAGTCCTGCAATTACTTCTATTCATCTCAACATGCTTATGTGAAGTATAACAGGTGGGTGATAAAATACACTAAAATAAATAATCTGTTTACTCTGTACAGTCATTCAAATCACAATGTTGTCATTGTACTTTTAAAAATTAAATCAAAATTACTTATTCATTAATTCATTAAATGTATAATTAAATTAAAAATAATTGTAGAAGACATAGGCCTTTCACAAAGATTTCAGCAGTATAGCATATCTGACACACAACGCAAATGCAGCCTCACCGGTTAACTTGGTTATCGTCACACCAACCAAGTGTGCTCATAATATGCTTTGTTGAGTGCAACCGTCATGCAGCTTGAAATGCATCAGCGTGCAACAGTCAGTAATAAAATACAGAGAAATTACAAGCAGAGATGAATAGGGCTACTAAATTACAAATGTACAAAGTCTAACAGTAGTATTCAGGTACAGAAATTAATAATTAAGCCTAAATGTAAAATAACACTATTTGTTCACTGGAGAAATTAAATATAATAGGGCTGTCAACCGATTAATCGTAAAATAAAATAATAAAAGTTTGTGTTTACATAATATATGTGGGTGCACTGTGTATAATTATTTTGTGTATGTATATATACTGTATATATACACACATATGCTTGTAAATATTAAAGAAATATTTTCATGTATATACTGTATATAGATTTGTATATAATTTATATTATATAAAAATATTTTATATATAAATAATATTTTTATCTTAAATATACATGCATGTGTCATGTGTGTGTATTTACAAATCTAAAAAAATAATTATACACAGAGCACCCACATATATTATGTAAACACAAACTTTTATTTTGGATGTGATTAATCGCGATTAATCGGTTGACAGCCCTAAAATATAGTTTTATCTTTGTTAAAGCTGTATTTTGTTGTTTTATTAACATTAGTGACACAGACAACAGTAATATTAGGTGTCTGCTGTCACTTTAGGACTGAAAAAACTGGCAAACATACGTTTTTTCGTTCTCGACTATTCACTTATGACATAAACTAGAGAATAATTGCCGAGAAGGGTATTTAGAGGAGTATTTCGAAATAATTTTGTGTTTATGTGTCCGTTCAAGGGCAAGGGAATGTGAAAGTGGAGCGCCATCTAAAACATGCCTCTCTCTTTCTGCGGCTGTGCGCACAGATAACGCGCATCTTTGAATGTGTACATTTTGCAAGACAAAACACATTCAAATTATAAACTCCCACTCTATCATGATTAAACGTAGCTGTTAATCCGCGAATCACCCGCGTGCCGAACCGTGGGGCCTGGTCAGTACGGATCACGGATCAACTGCGATCCGTTCCACCCCTAATATTTGATCCGCACTTTTATAAATAATCACTCGGAAGTCATTTATTTAGTGTTTTTTTTTTATCTGTTTTTTCGATGGAGCTACACAAACCTAGCACTTTGTTAGCGGCTACGTTTTGGGTTTTGAGGACAAATCTGTCTGCCTCAAGTCCTCAAATATTACAGAAAATTACAGCCGAGTCCAAAACCCGCAAAACAAGTCCTCTTTCTCCCCCCCCTGATCTGACTTGTCCAAGCCTGAGCATGTATTGTGTACCAAACAATATTCTCATCTTCACTGAGCATCGAGATATGGCCCATATTATCAAATGACATCCAAAGCAGTCCTCGGTTCCTTGGCGGACTGAGATTTACACACGGTTAAGAGGGATGATTTTAGATCTGAAAGTGTTTCGATTCCATTTACAACGTAATTAAATTGACCTCAAAAGCTTGACTAGAATATTAGTTTGGCTTATAGAGGCCAATGCGTGAGGAATATAAATGTGTACTATTTATGTTGCACACAAAGGAATGGGCGTGACTTTTGCGAGCGTGTGTTTGTAGAGCCGGTGTGTATTTAGATGTGTGGAGTCTTGCACTTGATATTTGATCTGTGGGGTTGGGTCAGCAAGCAGAGTTATTTCTGTTGGAGCCCCAGGTAGCAAGGCTGGCAAACAGAGAGGATGAGAGAGTGCCTCCAGAGTTAAGTAGGTAAACTCGCGCTAAGCTGATGCAGATCTCCGCGTATTCCCCTCCCTCTCTCCTTCACTTTATCCCTTCTTCCTTCACACTTCAGAAGACCTTGGGGCACCCCCCTTCCCAACACACTCGCACACACAGTTACAATTTAATCCTCATTCTGCCACCAAGGTCAATTCAATTATCCTGTTTTCTTAAAGTGTGTGTGTGTGCCCATTTCACAGTCGGCCTGCACAAATACACCAGAGATTAGAGCTGCCACACTTTTAATGATCTACATACCTATAAGCAACTGTATCTGAGACAGGTAGGGCCTCTTCCCCGCTTGCTCGTGTGATCTGTTCCTCAGCACGGATTTTGTTTTTAGGTTGATGAGGCTGCCTGGCGTCCCAAGTGTCTTTCCCAAGTTAATGAGGAAATTAGTTTTTTCAACCCCAAATTCCCCACCTCAATCTGTAGTTTGTCATGCTGCTATATTATAAGTGTTACAACAATAATGTTCATCAGAGTTCTATTTCTATCTAGGTTTGAATTATACAATCAAACACGGTGGTGAAGTATTCCGGAAGACCTGACTCTCACGGGAATCGACGAATGTGATAAAGTTGCGTCCAAAATCACATACTGTCTGAAAAAGCACTACATTGGATGAGGAATGAGCTTTGAGAGTGTTAAAAAAGTATGTTTCAAATAGTATGGATGTAATCCGGATGCCACCTACAGCGTCAGTAGGGTGCTTTACTGCCATTAACAAATCCTCTCCCGTGGCCTCATGGGATAGAGTAAAGTGCCCACTGGATGCGCACTTCAGAATTTCGTCGGAAGTTGAAGGTCACTGGGTACTTTTCCCCATACCGTTTTATGAATACTACAAATTTGGACATATTGCTCATTTCATGTTTGGTTTCTCACCTACACTCTTAAAAATAAAGGTTCAAAATGTCTTTTTTAACAGCAATGCCATTAAACAACCATTTTGGGAATAGCCTAAAATAGCCTTTTTTCCTAATGTGAAGAGCGATTTATTAAATAGTGGAATCTTTTCCCATTTAAAAAAAAAAAACCTTTGTTGGATTCGATGGAAGTTTCTTCATGGAACCGTAGATGCCAATAATAAAACATAAACTTTACTTTTAAGATTGTATTATATATTAGGTATGCATGCATATTCAGATGCAGACTAAGGCCCCGTCCGCACTACAGCGTTTTCGTTTAAAAACGGAGAATTAAAACAAATACGATCTCCGCCCACACCACCGTTTTATCTGCGTATTAGAAATGATCTCCGTCCACATTAAAACGACAGATCACGTGACCATTCACCAACACTGGGCATGCTCGTGCCGGTATAAACAGTGGTTGGCGAATCAGGGAAGGATACGTCATGACTGATAACACCCAATCATGGAGCCAAGCGTCAGCGTTTCTGAAGTCCTACGTTTTGTCTCGTCCACACTAAAACGCCCTCCGGAGATTCAAAACGAAAAACGGAGCTGCAGCGTTTCTAAACTTCTCCGTTTTAGGTCTTCGTTTTTCCCGTTTTAGTCTGGACGGGAGGTGAAAACGTAGCAAAAGGTCTCCGTTTTTAAACGAAAACGCAGTAGTGTGGACGGGGCCAAAGGTCGTTTTCACACCTGAAAGTCAACACAATGATCTGAATCAAAGTTCACGTTTTGATACATTTTATATTTTCAGAAAGTTTTGGTTTGGTTTCACACTGCAATAATGCGAGCGCACTAAATAACTTTACGTGACATATTTACGTCCTGTCGTCATCATCTATGTGAACGTGTTGTCAATTCGGCGTGTCACTTTGACAGCATGAACGAACAGACGCATATCGTTGCAACTATATTGTTTTTTGTTATGGCATAATTACATGCAGCACCAACTATACACAAGGCTAGTTCAAATTCGCAAAATGAACGTCCTCGTCGTGCGAACATTTTATCGTCGCCGGCAGGAAAGGAGGAGACGATTGCAAGTTGACTTCTTATTATCTCATCAGACCATACTTCAATTAAAAACCTCATCTCATCATCTCCCCATGTGCAGCACGGCTCATTTTTCCTGCCCGCTTCTGTTTTTTCGGCTTTTTGGGAACCACCAGAACTTCCTGTAAAAGGTCTGAAAGTCCGAACCATACAGAAATGCTTTCACACTATAAACAAACCAAACCTTTTTTTCAGTTTGATCCAGACCGAGACTACTTCTTTTCGTCGGACCTAATTTCATCTGTTTGGTCCGGACCGTGGTCCAGGGGAGGTTTCACACCTCCAATTTTGATTCGGACCAAACTGAAAAGTCAGAAAATCCGGACCAAACAAGGTAGAGTAGGTGTGAAAGGGCCCTAAGTCTGCAAGACCTAATATACTTTCATTACTATTACTTTAGGTAAACAATGATGTTGTCAATTTTTTTCCAGTTATTGAATGTGATATGATGATACTAATAAAGCAACAAAGCAACCAATTCAGCAATCCTACCTGGAATGTCCTGGTTGGCGTAGCTCCAGCCAGGGGTGGAGAGCATGGACGGTAACGGCGAAGCGGTCCGACTGTCCCCTTCACTCTGCTGGGTTATATGCCTGACTGTGTCCTTGTTCTTACGGTTCTTCCTCCGGCCCGAGCCAGGGGGTTGCCAGCCCCCCTCTGCTCTTCCACCTTGCTCTCCGGGCGTGCCTTGTGCCCCTCGGCCAGCCCCGTCTTGCAGATTGGAGGGGGAGACCTGCTCCTCTTTGACCTGGACAGAGCGGTAATCAGCAGGCCACAAGGGCTGCAAACAAGCGTCCTCCTGGCTCTCATGGCTTTTGGGTTCCTGGTCCTCTTTGCCGTAGTTGCTACCGCCTTCATGGCAGCTAGCGATGGCCGAGTCTCCAGATGAATTTGCCGGGCTAGTGCGCCTGGCCAACCACGGCGAGGAGCTGCGGGCCGAGATCATGGACGCCAGTGCCTCCGAGGCTCCGCCCACACCGGCCCCAGCCCCGCCTCCAATAGAGCTCACCACGTTGCCCATCTCAATATCCGCTAGTTCATCTGCGAGCTCTGAGCGAATGCTGATGTCTAGCGCCGCCTTGATGAAGCCGTGACACGCCTGCACTATGTCGGTCATTTGAAGGTAGCTGGCGGCCGACATCACCTCGATCACATTCTTGCTTGTGAGCGCCAAGTGGGCAGAGTACATGAAGTCAAGGATGGTCTTGAAACCTTGGGCCGTGACTATGTCCAGGTGCGTGATGGTGGCCTGCTGCTCTGAAACCTTCTTCACCTGGCAATAAAGTGTCTTGAAGTAGCGGCTGCTGCCCAGCAACACGTTCTTGTGTGCCTTGAAGATCTTGCCCTCCACGATCACACACACGTCGCACAGGATGCCGTGCTGCCGCTGCTCGTTCAGCTCCCGCAGGAGCTGCCGGTAGTGCGACGTGATCTCCATGTCTTCCTTCCGGTTATTCATTGGACTAACGGGTGGCTGCTTCTCCTGAACAGAGTCTGGCGGAAGACAACATACAATAAACAAACCCTGGTTAGGACAGTTGCAGTAGATGCAGGAAATAGACCACAACAGTTAGCATTAATAAACATTTTAAACAGTATCATTATGGCCACATTATGTTCCATGTGAATGGTATTCAGGTATCACTATCTTAAAAAATAAAACCTGTAATTTTGCATGTTGCAATTCAAGATTTCAAAAATTAAACTAAACAGAACACATACTCACTCTAAACAATGCTGGGTTGTTTTAACCCAAGATTGGGTAAAATATGGACAAAACCAAATGTTGGGTTAAAAATGTAATTTAACCTTCCCTTTCAACAGTACATTTTTGAATTACATTTTTAACCCAACATTTGGGTTTGTCCATATTTGACCCAACTTTGGGTTGAAATAACCCAGCATTTTTTAGAGTGCTAATAACCACAATGAATCATTTTGACTTGCACTAAGCACAAAAAACAGTAATCCACCATGAAGGTCATATTTTTGTTATATTCAAAGTCTAAATTATTTTCTGTGGTAATCAACATTATACAGCAAATTCAGTTTTGAGCATGTCAAAAAAGAGAAATATCAGCTAACATCTGCCAGTTAATTTGTCACATTAGAAATGCAATGTCAGATTTAGAGCACGGCATTGTGGGATACAACATGGTGTGCAATGTGCTCTATTGTTTGGCAATACGAGTATTCTATAAATACAGGCAATTCACATACTGTGCACAGTATACCTACTACATACTTCAAGAATAGTATATTGATATGCTAATCCATTGACCCAGAGTAAGAAGAAGGCCCAGATTAACCCCTCAGAGGCCCAATCTGCAGACTTTTTTGCACTACTTCGGGAAGAAATATACAGGATTGCGTGAAATGTATTTGGTAAAATGTGTTAAATGGAGCTGAGAGTACTTCAATGGTAGCTGACAGCATTATCAAATTAGACAAATCATTTAATAAATGAAAAACACAATTCTGCAGAAACACAGATTGCATGTGGGCTTGGCAATCAGGAAATATTTCTTCATTATGCTTCATTTGAAGGTGTCCAAATCTGTGTGGCAAATGGCTTTAAGATGTTCAAGTAGTGAGACAATTGAAAGTCCCTGACACTGCTGGTAACCTCATGCATTTTGAAGAAGAATATTAAACCAAGAGAAAAAATGCATTTTCATGGAGTGCAGCATCAAAATGTAGAAATTCTCACTTATCACAGAAAACCTGCCTCCATAAAAGACGCCCACCAGCACAAAACCTGGCAGAAGAAACTGACCATAGCTTTGGGTTGTTATTACTGAGGTCTTCTATCTCTGTAAAAAGTCATTTAAGCACTAAATGTCACTAAAATGCCATTATGAAGCAGGTGACATGCATTGGCCAGCTCTGATGGCTTGAGGCTGATTGTCTTCTGGGCTACAGCCATCACCTTTCCTCGCTAAAAATGAATTATCTGTTTGGCAGATCCATTTTCCACTTTATTATTCAACTAACTCACAAAATGGTAATTAAATGAAACAATTTAGCAACAAAAAAGAGAAAAGTGAGAAGAGGAGAGGCGATGATTGTGTTTAAGTGCTTTACACACTCACTGGGTGATTTTATTTGGCAGCTAATAAAGCGAACAGAGAGAAACATCATGATTAAAGGGTTGAACAGTGAACACCTGAACATCTCTGCTATAATCATTAAGGTAGAGAGAGGGGGGAGGAAAACTAGATGAGCCTATGCATTGTTCTAGGATGCGCGCAGAGGAAAGAGAGAGAGAGACTACAAGCACAAAACATACGCTCAACTGGGAAGAGGCGAAAGGCATAGGGATGAATCTCATGGTTATAGTTGGCTATATAAGAAAATATTATATATTATAAATAATGTTTTTTAGCCTTTTTAGGGCAATTTTTGCAACATGACATTATTTTCACGCCAGTTAAACACATGAACTCACAATTTTCAGTAGCCTTCAGTTATTTAAAAAAAATTGCATTACTGCAATGCAATAAAAAACAATATTTGAAGAGTTCAGATGCTAAGTGCCATTTGAAATTTTCTTCTAGAATGATCATTTTTATCAAGCTTGTATATTTAAGTTCAGTGATTTCACCTAAATGGCAATGATAATTACCTATTAATTGTTATTTAAGTGAAATTACTGAACTTAAATATACAAGTTTGATAAAAATCATCATTCAAGAAGAAAGTTTCAAATGGCATTTAGTGGCTTTTGCATCTGAACTCTTCATTTTGTTTAAATTGCATATACTATTTAAAAACTTTGGCAGTCTGTTTTTGCTCCACAAACAAAAATATTCAAGAATGATTCAGATATCGGCTGCGAGCGAATGATTCAATGACTCGTTTATACTGTATTGATTTAGAATACATTTAATACATGATAATACTGAATCAAGTCTTTTTGAACACACAAACACTGAATTGCAATTTAATTAAAATTGAATGCCAATTTCAAATTGCTCAATCACAGAAATAAGAATTGGACTGTTTTCCACATTACAGGAATGGGGACTGGGCCGAAAAATTGTCTTAATGGTAATACAAATATGATGATCTTTCTTCATTTAAATGTAATAATAAAAGTTAATAGTAAAAGTCTGCTGCGGAGCAAAGGTGCACATTAGCGAGCACCCTTCTAAAACCTAAAATGACAAATGGGACACTTTGGCGGCGGCCATTGTTGACAGGACCACAAGTTCTCAAGAAGTTTACCATTTGGGACAGGGCCTGAGATGCGACTTCCTACAGAACATGCACTACATATTCACACATACACAGGCCACTAGCATCCTCTATGAGCAGCACAGAAACCGTCCTGGATGGGGCTAAATCGCAGGGACGTGGAGTGTTACCAAATGGGGCCATGATTTGTTTTGTGAGCGTTCAGGCTGTCAGCTCACATCGGGCCGACTGCAGCGTGACAGCTCCCGTTCCCTATAGTGACAGCAGCGTTTGCTGCGGGGCCGGCACACTTCAGGTCATGTTTAGGAAAGTTCCTCTCAACCTGATGGCTTGTAAGATCAAATCAATCCTCAGCCTCTCCCATGTCCACTTGTACAAATACACCTTACTTGGAAGACTGAAAGAAGAAGAGACTGACAGTGACAAGTGACTTTTTTTTCTTTTTAATAGTTTTAAGTTAGCCTCCAACTGCTTCGCTTGAGGCTCTTTCGCCTCGATTGCCTATAACGCCGTAGTTTGACTCGTTCTAAAGAACAATGGATGTATTCAGAAGACTAGGAACATGAGTCGCATAAACCATACTTTTATGGTTCGTATTGTCCTTTTTAGGACAATCATTACTTTTGTGTTCCACTTGAGAAAGAAAATTCATACAGGAACGTTTTTGGAATGACATTAAATGACGAAATCATTTTCTATCTATTCCACTTTAACCCTTAAAACCAATTAATTTTTCTCTGACAATGAGGATACGCTTAGTAAATGACGACACTTTGCACCCCAGACACACCAAATTAGTACTTTCTTTTCAACTATTCAGAACTACTTCAACTGTGCAACCAACAATGAATATTAATATCTTTTCGTTGGCCGACTGAGTTACATGGCAATCTGGCCAATCAAGTGCAAAACAACAATAAACATAAACAACACAATTGACAGACGTGTGACACGGCTAAACACTGAATGAGACAGAATGCAGTCGAACTAATCAGATGTTCTGCTTCACTGGAACTAGACGGATCTGAAGCTTATTAGACAAAAAGGAAGAGTATGAAAAGAAACAGCAGGGTCACGTAACCTAAATGAACCCTACAGAGCCCTGAGCGGGAGTGAAGGCGCAAGACCATATTTTACATTTCATATTTTTGGAAAAGGATATATGCTGATTCCAGAACGATACTTTGAGATGTAAAAAATATCTATAAACGCCCTCTGAAATGACAGTCAAATTAAAGACTACATGCTTCTATTCTACAAAAGAAGGCTGATGGCTTTAAAGGGGGGTTGATTGTGATTTTTTTAATTTTAAATAGTGTGTAATGTTGCTGTTGGTGCATGAACATTATCTGCAAAGTTGCAGCGCTGAAAGTTCATTGTAAGCTGAGATATCGTCTTTTAAAAATCAGGAAGTTTAATGCCTACAAAAACGACTCGATTGGGACTAGAGCTGGGTTTTAGACGTCACTAACCCACACATTTGCCTCCGGAATATGCAAAAAAGGGGCATGGCCATTTTTCTGCGGCTCGTCGAGTGTGTTGTTCACCCAGCTTTCAGGTCTTCTGTGTTCGGGCTTCCCACGGACGCTGTACTTCGTCAACAATGGATACAATTTATATTTGATTATGTTCCTCAAAATGACGATCGCAATCTAGCTCTCTGTGCTGCGCATTTTATGTAAGACAGCTTCCAGAATCTCCGCGAGTTCAACACCGGATTCAACAAGAAACTGTTACGAAAACATAAAGCAGTTCCAGCTTTAAAACCAGAGACAGCAGTTGTTGGGACACAACCTGTAAGTAGGCTAAGACTTCATCATTTTAAATGTATTTGCATGTATAATTTCAGACGTAATGTTTTAGTTTTATCAAATGCCAGCGCTGGCTTTATAGCCACTTAGTTATGTATTTTGTGTCTACGACAAACACGTACAAACTGAATTTTGTATATGTACTAATGTTGTAAATGTATTTTTCATGTATACATACTTTATGACGTTATTTTTCGATTTGATCAAGAACGTAAACCAGTGCCAATGCTGTTTGTGTATGTAGTAGCCAGTCAGTTCAATGCTATTATGTAAAACAAACGTGTATATAGTAAAAAAAAAACCATAGCAAATTACCATTCAGAAACGTTTCGTAAGAGCCGTGTGTGGTGAGGTTCTGTTTGCCTCTCTTTATCGCCGCTTTCTCAGTCTGCTTCTGGCTCTGATACTGCAGTATCGACAACATAATTTACATTTGACAGGAACACACACGCAACTTCGCCCGTAAAATGTAATGGGCGTAAAGTA